ATACCTCTTTCGCCTCCTTTACATCCATATATCTACGCATACATGCTCGTCGGTTAAGGGTACTTCTAACGTGGCCCATTTTCAAAATATCGCCAATTTGGTCGATAAACTTTTTTTCTAGGGCGTCCCTTCCCGACTCTGCCGTTCACATCTGCCATATAAATTTGCTTTGTCACTCTTTCCTCATTCATTCTTTCTACATGACCAAACCACCGAAGCATTCCTTTCTTCGTTTCGTCTCATTTACACATAACACATCTATTCCTCTGTCATTCATCATTTCGCATACTATATCCATCTTATCATTCATTGCTCCACATACATTCAGCGTAGCCAGACGGGCTTCCGCAATCCACTTTTCGCCCCTCCGGGAGACAGAACGTGACGGGTGGCGAACCTCGTCGCCGGTTTTATCTCCCGGAGATTCTTCGCACCCCTGCCCCATTAAAGCAGCGTCGGGAACTCGGGGCCATTTCTTTTATCTCCTGACTCATGATGCGAACATGGGTGGTGGTAGATTTTACGCCACTACCACACGGCGGGAAGTCTATTTTTTCGGCTTTGTCGCTGTCGGCGCTTAGCACCACCCGGGGGACACGTGTAGGGTGGGCCTAAGGTTAGGTGGTCGAAGCCTACGGACGCGAGCGACTCATCCCCAAATAAAGATATATTATGGGGTGAAGGAAGTGTTGAACAAATCTCTATGTATACCAGTGAGTGTCATAAGAGGCTAAGATTGATTGACTTTTCTTCGGATTGTGTGAGCTGTCCTGATTATGCTTTGACCGTGGCCACTGGCATACTCTAGATAAGCTTTACGCCGACATTGTGACCGCCCTTCGTGACGAAGCGGTGGTAAGTCGGGGAAGCACGAAAGTGGGGGGAATGTCTCGCGCGTAGTGGGTTGGAACAAGCACGTCAGCGCTGGTCATAGGGAGGCTAGGTCCAAGTTACATGAATGGGTGATGTGCGGAAAGCCAAAATCGGGTCCTGTTTACCGAGAAATGTGCGAAAGCAGACGAGTTTTCAAATCCAGATTAAAGTGGTGCCAAGACCACCAAGAACAAATAAAAATGGACTCTCCTGCGGAAAAGCATTCAAAGGGTAACTTTAAGGGCTTCTGGAAAAACACTAGTAAAATTAATGTACGACCTGACTTTCCTGTGATCGTCGATGGTGTAAACGACCCCAAGGACATTGCAAATGTCTTTAGGGACCACTTTTCTGTGAAATCGCCGCTGAGCCCGGCTGGGGGTGTGATCAATAGTAACATGAGTAGTCACGTGGTAACGACCGCGTTTTTGGCAAAAGATGTTTCAAAAGCCATTAAAAGTATATAAACAGGTAAGTCACCGGGACATGACGGTCTTAGTATTGAGCACCTGCAGTACGCCGGGCCACATGTCGCGAGGGTATTGGCTATGCTTTATTCGCTATGCGTGGGCCATTTTTACTTACCAGCCGATTTTATGAAGACAGTTGGGGTGCCTGTAGTGAAAAATAAAACTGGTGATCTTACCGACAAAAATAACTACAGGTGTTTGACGGGTTGCTTAATGCACAGTTAAATAAACACGTAAAGCTGAATGATAACCAGTTCGGGTTTCGACCGCAGCTGTCGACTGAAAGCGCAATATTGTGTTTTAAGCATACCGTTAAGTACTATACAAACCGCGAGACGCCTGTATATGCCTGCTTCCTCGACTTATCAAGGGCTTTTGATTTAGTCCGCTACGACCGTTTATGGGATAAGCTGAGAAGCATAAACTTATCTGAGGAACTCATTAGCGTGTTTAAGTATTGGTATACACACCAATCTAACAGCGTACGTTGGGCGGGAGCAGTGTCGGATCCGTATTGGCTCGAATGTGGAGTCAGGCAAGGCGGATTAACATCTCCGACACTTTTTAATTTGTATATGAATGATTTGATCGTCACTCTCAGCAGCCACCGCGTCGGCTGCCATATCGACGGCGTATATGTTAACAATCTGAGTTACGCTGACGACATGGTTTTGCTGAGTGCGTTGATCTGTGGCTTAAGAAAACTGATACGCATTTGTGAAGAGTATGCGAGTGGACACGGTCTAAAGTACTATGTGAAGAAAAGTCAATGCATGGTCTTCAAGGCAGGTACCAAGTGTCCCCAGGATTTACCTCCAGTGTTACTAAATAGGGTGCCCCTAGAAGTTTTCAATCAATTTAAGTACCTGGGACACTTAATAACTAATGACCTCAAGGACAATGCGGACACTGAGCGGGAGCGGAGAGCGTTGTCCATTAGAGCTAACATGATAGCCCGTAGATTTACGCGTTGTTCACAGGAGGCAAAAATTACACTATTTAGAGCTTATTGTACGTCACTCTATTCATCCAGCCTGTGGGCAGACAGTTAAAACGATCTCCGCGTCTTGTACAATAACGCTTTCAGGGTGGTTTTGGGGCTGCCCCGCTTCTGCAGTGCCTCTGGCATGTTTGCAGAGGCGCGCACTGACTGTTTTCACGCGACCATGCGTAAGCGGTGTGCGTCACTGATGCGCAGAGTGCGGGCCAGCTCCAATATTATTCTGAAAATGATAGGAGATAGAATGGACTGTCCTGTCCTCCGGCATTGCTGCGATAAACATGTCCCAGCGATTGTGGGAGTGAGAAGATACTAAATAATAATTATGTGTTAGTTATTATTGTGTTTATATGTTATGTTAGTTATTGTATTTTCATGACATATTATTATTATTTATTAATTAATTAATATTTTTAAATCAATCAATTTTAATGATATGGATCTTATGTTATCTGAAATAAATTAATAAATAAATAAAAAATTTAAAAAGGAGTAAGCCCTTTTTTTGAAGGTCCCTAATTCGTATCAAATGTGTAAAAGTGTGTGCGCAAAACACAGGTGCATTCTAGTTCCTCATTTTCATAGTTCGATGGGACGGCAATCTAACACTACCAGAGAAAGATAGGCGCAGGACCAACGGCATTACGTACTTTTCGAGGCACGGGGTGCAAAATCACAAAGTTCCTGACTCCAAGCCGCTACTCAGAATTTTTTGACAAAATTCAGTGAAATATTTTGGCTCGACCTGGGATTCTAACCGAAGACCACATAATCAGTAGTCGCGCTCGCGATCATTAAACCAACGAAGGAGTCACTGAAAACAAAACAGTTGCAGCGTGACTCTACCACATGTAAAGCGTGGTAAACTGTTGATTACATGATTGTAATGCATTGAAGAATTTCGTACTAAACTAAATTACTCATACTAAGGTAGGTGAGGGTAATATGGTCACCTTAAGCTTTGCCGCCCTTTAAAACCAAAACTAGACGGAGGATAGAGACAAAAACAAAAAATCGTTATACTATAAATAAAATATTAAAAAAAAACAACCTTTGGGAATTATCAGTAACACTTCGAAAACCCAACTTTAAAAAAACTAACTACACTACACCATACTAAAATAGACTAAAATAATTTGTTCACGCCCGATTGTTGTGTCATTTGGGGCTTGCGGGACGCGGGTCTCGAGTGGGGTGAGGAAACGGTTAGCGTGTCGCGAGAGGCGGAGGCTTGATGCGGCGTACGGGCACAGCATGCAGTCAGTCGGCCGCGAGGCTGGAAGGCGGATGGCAGCGAGCCTTCGGGCGCTGCGCCCGCGCCAGTAAAAGGTCGAGCGTTACATAACCTCCCGGGTCGAGTTAGGCGTCGCGAGTTGATATACTTTTGCGTCGAAAGGACGGCCGCCTGTTGTTATCTTATATTATACGTATCCGTGATGACGTGGCTTATTTCTTTAGTTTGTTTGCGCGAAGCCCGGGTCAATTATACGTTGAGAGCCTCTTTGTGTTCTCTTATGTTTGTGAATTTCCGTGATAACGATGCCGTATTGTTTGTGACTGTCATTCATTTGCGCGCGGCAGGTGTTGACTTGAGTGCCCAAGGCTTATGTTAATTGTGCGCGCCATTTTGAATTTACTATCGAATATGTGGGTCAAGACTCGACCGCCTCTAATTTAGTTGTCTGTTTTAAACGTGTTACGTGACAGGAGGCCTACTTGGAATTTGTAGTGATTAAAGGAACCTTTATGCCGTTAATTGCATCGACGAGTTAGTAGTTTTGTGCTACGTGAACCTGGGACATTGAACTTTGACCAATCGTCCTTAAGTTGTACCGCGTGTCACTTGTTTAACGTCGATTAACGTTGATTTGGTTGAACTTTAAGTTAATTAAATGTACAATAAAGTGATAAACTAATATAGTGAAAATAGAAGCGGAAGTTTTCCATTGGTGTACGCCCCTTAGATGGATCCCACATTTGGAGAGAGGCAACGCCTTGGGATCTGCTGTCCAGGATCAGCGGGTATGTCAGGTTACACATAAAACATAATACTGCACACCACTTACATGCACATCTCCTTTCACCTGACTATGCCCTGTGGTGACCCTTACCTCCGGTAATCGGTAAGTATTGCTTGCTTCTTTGTCTGCCGTTATAGTTTAATTATACATAGGTCTTGGACCGGCTCTAGTCTCGATCAGCTTTTGTCAGGATAGCTTGGGGGCAGTAACATAATTACTGTATAATGTCAATTGTCAAAATGGCGTCGATAAAGCAACGCCATTCTAATGAATTTAAAAGCCATCTATGCAAACAAGGTTGCAGTTTTTAAGTTGTAAGAAAGTGACCATATTGACCAGATGACCATATTACACTCACGTACTATACTATAAATTGTAAAACCAAAAAATTTATCATGTAAAAAATCAACGTAAGAAATTTTCCAAGCTTGAGATCAACAAATTACATCGATTTTTTGATTATAAAACCATCACTACTTTTATTCCATCCAAATAACTGCTTTTTGAAAACGAATTACAAATATTACAAGAATTATAATTTATTAATTACCCATTTAATGTCTCGTATGTGCAATTTAGTATTACAATAAGTTATAATTAAATGTAAACAAAAAAATCAATAGTCCATTGCTTCTTTTAATCTTGACATTTACAAACTTCCGGTGGCGCACGAGCAGTGTAACGCGCATCGCACGTGGGACCGCATATGCGCTGCGTCTTAAAACAGCCGCGTGGTAGAAGCCGCCCTGGGCGCTCTGTCAAGTCCACTACATAGTTGGCTCGCAATAGTCCCGCTGGGTAATTCTCCTCCGTTTGTTCTGAATCCTCCTGAAAAAAGTCTAAGTTATTGTCAAATTTTTGCATTTGTTAGATTAGACTTGACTTGAGCCTGGCAGCTTAGAGGCAGAACGCTTGCTTTAAGTTTGATTTTACTCGAGCAAACCGTTAAAGTTCAATCACAGCCAACGCCACCGAAATTACATATAATATTGTAAATATTTAGGAATTACAATAATTCTTAAACCATCAATTCTTCCTAACTTCTTTAGTCGACTGCGAGCGGGCGAGAGAACTAGTTCTTTGTTTTGTAAACCATAAACGTTGTTTACCTAGAACAACCCAACACTGATTTTATTTAATGTCATTAAGACGACACATCGAAAAAGTGGCTCCGGGCTATCGCCCTACTGATCCGAGAAAATATATATAATTTCTATATAAACTTAACTGCTTAGAAATTGTCAGAATCTTAAAATATTTTTTTTTAAATTATTGATTTAACTTGATTTGATATTTGCCTAAGAACAGTAACTGCTGGAAATGAAAATACATCTAAAAATAGTTTTTGTTTTAAATTGCCGGCCGGAAGTTGCGTTTTACTATTTGTTTGTTAGGGTTAAAGGAAAACATTGTCAGAAAGATATCATAAATCCGCTTATTTGCAGTTTCCGACATAAGCACTTGTCTCTTTCGTCGGTGTAGATATTATTTCATCAAAGGCAAAAATGTGAAAAGGAGGCCAAGTTCGTTTTCGTTTATAGCACAACTTTTTACGGGAATTCACTAGGAACTACTCCATTAAGTTGGACTATTTCCGTTTTACCTCAAGGGTGACAGTTTGACTGTAGTCTTTCTTTAGCATTACTTATATACGTGGTAAAGCCACGCTGCAACTATATCATAACTGTAACACGAATGAATCGGCTCGACAAGGGAAGGACCATGCTCTCACAGAATACCAGCGTAAAGTAGCAGTTTAATGCCACTGTATTGCGTATGGTGAGTGTAGAGAACCGGAGACCCTTTTTACTGGAAACGAGGCATTCCATCTCAGTCCTCAGGAGCGACAATACATCTGCATTTTGATTCTTAATCGATGATAAATGTAGACGTCTATGGGCCACAGCATCCACTTACCATCAGGCGGACTGTGTGCTCGTTTGTCATAATTATTGTATTAAAAAATTCGTTAGACTTAAGTACATACCGGGTCGAGTTCAGGCACGGCGACTTCGCACCAGGCGTGTCCGCTGGTGGCGCGGTGCAGGGCACACGGCAGCCCCGAACGATCCGCCAAGACTTTGTAAAGCAACGCCCGCTCTAAACTACCACCGCACTTCACGAAACCCAAACCCACCAGGTTTGATTTTAACGCCGTCTATGAAGATAATAAACCTTATCTAAGTCAGGATCTTTTTTCTTCTTTCATTGCAGTCTACCTAAAGTCCCTGCTGTAAACAGGCCTCTTTTATAGGTTACTTCATATTTTGCCATAGATACCACCAAAGAAGTTGAAAACTCGATATCTTCGCCGATTTTAACGATTCTCTTTTACTTAAGGAGTGATCTTATAAAAATTTGGAGAAAACTTCCACACCTAATTGTAACAATTGGGAGATGGTTTTTTTACGTAACTAATTAGACGACTTTTTACTTGTTAAATTTTAAAGCTACTGATATTCCTTAACTCAATTAAAATGGTCAAAATATTAAGCTTACACTAACAAAATAAAGAGTCGACTTCACAGAATTAAAAAGTATAAAATAATTTTGACATAATAATTTGATATCAGTTGGGTTTTTATGATAATAGAGCGCAAAACGCGCGCTAGCTTTCTTTAACAAAATCTAGGATACCTTTTCTATTCCCTTCTTGGTATGCATCTGGATATGTACAATTATAGCTTGTAAGGTATTTTATCTTTATTCTCAAGGATAACAACAACCTATCTTCATTCTACGCATTCTTCTTTAATTTTTGTTATAGGTTTCTAATAATACCTAACTACCTACCACCATGTGGATTTTAGCTCGTTTGTCATTTTTAAAGAATTAGAAATAACATCTCAACTCATTATTTTCTACATAAAAGAGCTGCTATTTTCGTAATGGTTTATGTCTATGTTACAATAAGCACAATGGGAGATTTCAACTACAAAACAAAGCAAAAATTATCAGTATAAATCTTGTTCATATATCAGCATGAAATAGGTATTATAGTTAGTAAAGCAAATTTTCTTAATACCATCAAATCAGCTAAATGTAAGTCTACACTCGGCAAGGAGCAGTCGCGTTCTTGAGTCAACCCGCTCATAGCTTCGGAGACGAATTCGGCCAACAGTATCGCTTTCTGTTTCAACGATGATGACACTTCGTCACGTTTGTCCCGGCACCTGACGACATTTAATATTTTCAAAAAGATGTCAAAAGTTATTATCTGAGATCCGCATAATAAAACAAAATAGTGTCTGTCTGATCCTTTAATTGCGTGCACTATCCCCGTCATCACTAATCCCTATCCCCATACACCACCACCGTCTATATTACGACACGTGTTTCTGGTTTCTGCGGTGGCTTACCACAGAGTCTACTTCACCTGGTGACACCTATAGAGGCGAAACACGTGTCATATTATCTCCCTACAAACTAGGTTATTTTGTAAGGTCGGAGAAAAAGAATCCTCGTTTTTCATATACAAATTCAAGACATTTTTCTTCAAAGTCTAATTACATTAAATTGTAATATATATGTGCCATTTTGTTTGATAAATTGTTGCCATCTTGTAGATAGTAACATAATCCCGTTGCTATAGAAATCTTGGGATTTTTGATCAAAAATTGCGACAAGTAAGTAGTTTTGAAAGAAAGAATTCTGAAAAGACCGAAACAGGTGAAAATCTGAGATTGCAAAGTTGGGACTAAACACTATATTATGATGGATGCATTAACACTTCCCAACCAAGCTCTCTCAATTTTTGCTGAATGGCTAAAGACGTGTGTGGTCTTTTTTCGCAATTTCTTGCTTGAGTCTCAGTAGTTGTTGGCAGTAGAGATCTGAATCGATAGTTTTGCAAGGCAGTAAAAGATCATAATAAAGGAAGCCCTTCCAATCCCAACATACACTCAGCATCCCTTTGCTAATCCGGGTCAGTGTGTTAATCCGGATTTCGCTACAGTCTGTGGAGATTAACTACCCTTTGACCATCATCTTTTTTGCACGTTCTTGTCGTAGGTCGAATTTAAATTCTTTTCAATTCGTGTCTACATGTTAGTTGGCCATGTCAGTATGTTGACTCGTTAAAATTTGTCCTACAGTGATATAGTCTACATGTTGGCTAAGTTTTAATGAGTGAACATACTGAAATGGGCAACTAACATGTGGAAACGAATTACTGAGTACAGGCAAGCGCCTTTCATTTGTGCAGAAAAAGTGCACTGTTCCGAAGTGAGACGAGAGAGTGAGTTCTGGCGAGCGATTCCAAGTGGTGGCAAGGCAAGGCACCTAAACGAACTGTATACACGGTACACGTCGTCGCTCGTCTGCACTCGGTCAGCTAGGCGAGCGACGACGAGCAATGGCGAGGCTAGACAAACGGGTTGTCTATACGTTGGTACTCGACGAGTACCAAGTAGAATCTATGCTGGCTATAACCGCGTATGAGTAATGTCATAAGATTATGACATTTCTCATAGCTTCCTTCCTATATTCTCATAGCCTCTAACGACACACATGGTACAAAATGGAGTGATTGATTCATGGATTAGATGGGCTCATACACTGCCAACACAATCTACTACGATATCTCATTTAATTATTCTTACCTCACTTCGTAATGAGCGTCATCAATTTCGAAGTAGTGCAAAGATTTCGCACTAAAAAAAAAGTTACTGTTTATTTTTATCCTTATACAATTAAAAGAATAAATATTTTGTATGGTGAAACATCAATTTTTTTCTATTCATGCAATTTATAACTTTTTTAAATATTTTTTTAAAAAAAGGCGTAGTGTAGGGCGATCCCCCATTAGATGGAGTGACGATCTGGTAAGACATGCAGGAAGTCGATGGATGCAAGTGGCTCAGGACTGTGCTTTGTGGCATTTCTTGGAGGAGGCCTATGTTCAGCAGTGGACTTATGAAGGGCTGTAACGATGATGATGATGACGAATGCCATTTAACTGTTAGTAACTGGATCTCCGATACTCATTACTCAATACATCACTTGCATTCAGTCAGCGTTTACTAGGTGGTATAGCTAATTTTCTACCTAGGACTTCGTTTGACTTGTTACCAATACTATTCTCACACCTACTCCCGCCGTCGAGCATTAGTGCGTTCACTGCGGTGTTTCAGTCTGACGGGAAGGGTATAGAGAGCTGTAATAATTGACTCTGAGACGTTCAGACTTAGTCCTCAGAGGTGACATTTCAACTGAAGCCTTCTTTGTGTGAAGTTTACTGTAGGTACCTGGACATAGGTAAGTAGCCGCTTACACTTATAAGGTGGACTGTTATTTGTTTGTCACCATTTTTTGGCACATCGAGACGACATCCTTACCAATAGTGAACCGATTTCATCAGCGTGGTCTGGCTAAGAGTGGAAAAATGTGATTATGAAACGATTACGAAAACGTTACTGTTACCGTTACAGCCTATTAAAGTCTACAACTGAACATAGGTCTCCCCTATAGATTGCCACACAAGTGAGATATTTGTCATACAACGCTTTTGAAGCAGTTTAGCAACCGCAGTTATTTTTATTTTTAGTCGTTAGTAGAAAGGCGTTGCTGCCCATCTCATCTGTTTCCCTCTATCACCAATTACGACACCCACGGGATGATATGGAGTTACATAATTATATTCTTACACAACCTCTAAACGGTAAAAATGGGATATGAAATTTTTAATGCAACTGTAAAGTTTGTTACCTTATGATATTGCATAATCCTCTCAAAAAGGTCAAATAATATTTTTTTTTGAATCATCCTTAGTCAAAAACGAGCACACAGTCCGCCTGATGGTAAGTGGTTGCTGTGGCCCATAGACATCTACATCTATCCTCGATTACGAATCAAAATGCAGATGTATTGTCACCCGTGAGGACTAAGATGGTATGCCTCGTTTTCAGTAGCGTTGAGCTGCTATTTTACTGTGGTATTTTGTGAGCGTGATCCTTCCTTGGTCGAGCCGACCCATTCGATTCGTGGTACAACTAATATAGCAGCATGGCTCTACGTACCCAAATTATTGGAATAAAATAATTCTCAAAGTAGGTACTTTATTAAAAGCTTCTGAGATGAGGTCAGTTCTTAGACATGGTGTAAAGGAATTAAAAGCCGTAACTTCAGACTATCAAATGATCTTGAATTTTTTTAGACCTAAATAATGAAAATCGTTTTATTGTATATTCGTCAGTTGCGAACTCGCTGCACTGTCTTTTGCGAATCACTCAACGAAGTTGCACTTATTCTCTTTATTAAATTTTTATTTAACAATAAGCAATTATTTTCATTCAAAAGTGTACGACGTAATCAATAGTGCCGGCTTAAACTAAATGTAAACAACTGCCTTTTAATAACTGACTTTTTTATAGAATAAGGGTGACAAACGAGCACACAGTCCACCTGATGGTAAGTAAATGTTGTGGCCCATAGATATCCACATCTATCCTCGATTAAGAATCAAAACGCAGATGCGTTGTCACCCCTGAGTACTAATATGGAATGCTTCGTTTCCAGTAAAAACAGGTCTCCTGATCTCTACACTCACCATACGAAACACAGCAGTATAAAGCTGCTATTTTACGCTGCTATTCTAAGACTAATTATGAAGAAAGTTAGAAATATGTCTGCAATTATTTGTAAAGCCTTGGTTTTAGTTCAGGAATTATAAAAGTTTTTATATTATATTAATTGCCCATACCAGTGCAAAAGTGAAGAGGTGTTTGATTGTCAGCACATTCACTTGTCTTAGAGGCCTCGTGTTTTAAAAAAAAACATTTTACGTCAAATAGGAAGGTGGATTAAGGGGGAGGACCGAAAATCAGTTAGCTTACGGATCACCAAACCACATGCGCAAGCGCAGTAAATATGTACGCAAATGAGGGTCGTCCCGTATAACGTTGCGATTTGAGAACGACATCGGCTTTGACATCATCAGCGGAAACTCTGTAACAACCGGGAACATTATTGAATAATATACAAATTCATCACTATCTCATCATCACTCTTATTTAATCCACTGTTAGGCAAAGTCAGGAATGTGCGCAGAATTGATCCTCCTCCCCGTAAGAATCAGCACAAAATAATGTTTATTGTTTTTTTACCGACTTCAAAAAGGAGGAGGTATTCAATTCGACTGTGTTTTTTTTGTGTTACATCATAACTTTTCTCTGGGTGAACCGATTTTAATGATTCTTTTTTATCTGAATGCTGGTGCTTTTCTCATGTAGTCCCATACTGTTTTTTATTAAGATCTGAAGATGTTATCATTTTAATACATTGTTGTAAAGTTTTTTTATTTTACCGCTTGTTCTGTCGGTAATTCGCAGTAGCAGCCCGGAAATACATATTCCTGTCCTGCGCATATAGCTTTAGACTTCGTTGAGCCTGTCCGGCGTGTCCGAATTTCGGTCTGGATGACATTATTATTATCTACTGCCAATCACCAGTATGAAGTGAAACTTAGACTCAGGGTTTTTGGAGAGATTTTTGACCGTCGGTATTATAGGATATCTATACCCAATTACATGATAAAACTTCTTTAAGATATACATAATTGTTTTAAATAACTAATAATAATCAAGCGTTCTTATTCATCATGATCAGCTCGGAAAATTCATGAAAAAGAAAATGTCAATGAGCCTTTCCATTTGTAGAAACGACTTGCTTCGATCTGCAGGCTTGGAGGCGGATGAACGGAAGCAGTACCAGGCTTCTCGCACCTTTGACGACGCTGGTCTGGATATATGAAATAAACAAATGCCAATCCTGAATGATTCGTTAATATGACCCGGATCGCATCAAAGTATTGTAGATTGCAATAACATTTTTTTGGTCGGAGGTCCCTCCGACCTCCGACCAAAGAGTATAGCAATTTCCGATGACAGATATAAACGAGCGGGTCTTACAGATCACATAGTACTGAAACTATAATTGACACCGCACAACCGTAGTTTTTTTTATTCAGCCATTATCAGGAAGATGTTGTGCCCATCTTATGTACTAGTTTCTCTGTGTCACCTCTTACGACACCCACGGGGAGATATGGGATAGTGGGTATTCTTACACTGCCGCTACACGGTCAACGTCAGCCAATATTCAGGAATCTCAATCAAACAAATTGTTGCTCACTCGAGGCTCGCACGTTTATTTCCAAGGAACTATCCGCATTGGGAATTTGAAAGTTGCACACGAACACAGGATCTTGGTGCGGAGCGGGAGCTTCGGCTAATGCCCGCAGCGTTGGGAATGGACTTTTCAAACGCTTCAGTACATAGAACCCGTCCTGTAAAAATATTTTAACTGTCTTTGAATTTTTTTTTATAGAATAAGGGTGATAAACGAGCACACAGTCCACCTGATGGTAAGTGGATGCTGTGGTCCGTAGACATCTACATTTATACTCGATTAAGAATCAAAACGCAGATGCGTTGTCACCCCCGAGAACTAAGATGGAATGCCTCGTTTCCAGTAAAAAAGGGTCACCGGATCTATACACTCACCATACGAAAGAACAGTATTAAGCTGCTATTTTACGCTGGTATTCTGTGAGAGCGTGGTCCTTCCCCGGTTGAGCCGACCCATTTGAGCTAAAACCATAATATAGCTGCAGCGTGGCTCTACCACGTATAAATAACGCTCGTGTCATGCTACTCGCACGATGCTTGGCGGTCGTATTGTCCTAACCTCCGTCCTTTTCAGGCGCGTTAACGTCTAGTATATTATTTATATTTAAATAGAATAATGCCTAAATGCTCAAACGCAACTCAATTTTATAATGCCGTTAAGTCTTGTGCTTTCGCAATCACTCAATCACTTTACGAGACATAACGACATCTAAAAATTGAGTGCGTTTGAGTATTTTGCCATAAGGATGACAAATGAACACACAACCCAGCTGGTGGTAAGTAGATGCTATGGCCTATAGACATCTATATCTATTCTCGATTCAGAAATTATTATTGTCGTTGTTCTTCTTCTATAAGTGTCATACGCTTGGCATGTGGATTATCGATCGCAGCACCAAACGTCTCGCACATTGGACGCTTCTCTTTATCGTAGGTCTGTGTTCACATCTAGTATATCATAGGTACATAGAAGACGGATTGGAGGCCATAACATACGTCCGGCATTTCTCATAGTCGCCTATTACAACACCCACGGGACAAAGTTGAGTCCTACACTTTTTATATTGAAATTCATCTGTACTTCGTATCAAAATCACACATAACTTGTTTTTCTTTACAGAATAAACGTGACAAAGGTGTACAAAATTCACTTAATAGTAAGTAGATGTTATGGGCCATAGACATCTACATCTGTCTTCGATTAAGAATCAAAATGCGGATGCGTTGTTACCCCTGAAGACTAAAATAGAACGCCTCGCTTCGAGTAAAAAGGGTCTCCGGTTCTCATCACTCACCATACGAAACGCAGCAGCATGCAGCTGCTATTCTACGCTGTTATTGTGCGAGCGTGGTCCTTCCCCTATCGAGTCGACCCATTCGTGCTACAACCATAATACGTTGCAGCTCACCTATATCACGCATAAACGTCTCTAATCAGTTATATCACCGTCTGTTGGTGGCCATGAAATATTTTTTTTATAGAAGAGGGGGCAAACGAGCATGCGGCTCACCTGATGTTAAGTGACTACCGCCGCCCATGATCAACAGCAACACCAGGGGAATTGCAGGTGCGTTGCCGGCCCTTTAGAAGGGAGTACGCTCTTTTCTTGAAGGTCCCCAGGTCGTATCGGTCCGGAAAAATCGCTGGTGATAAACTATTCCACAGAGAGGTTGTACGCGGAAGAAAACACCTCTTGAAACGTACAGTGGTGGACCGCCAAGCATCCAGATGGTGTGGATGGTATCGGGACATTTGCCGCGTAGTGCGTTCACGAAATTTGGCGGCTGGTATTAATCCAACAATTCCTCAGAGTACTCTCCATGGTATATGCGAAAGAAAATGCAAAGATTTCCATCAACAGACGATTCTTCATATAACTTCACAATTACTTACGCCAACACCTCACTGCAGATGTATTTCTATACTGAATGCAAAGACATTTAAGTAGTTGGTATATATATATATATAAAAAAAAAAATATATATATATATATATTGACAGGATATCACACGTAACTCCTCGAAATATGTATGGTAATGAGTGATTTTTTCAATTTATGCATGCCATTTGACGCACTCTTTTACAGATTCACGTCTATCAGAGTTTAAAAAGGCTCATAGAGGAAGACAAACTTTTCATTTTGTATATGAAGAATTTAGTGTTATTACTCCAAAAAGTTTTTAGGTATCACATCACCTTTCTTATCACTCCGTTAAAAGTTGATGGCCAGTGACGTACTTGGGTGTCTTCTTGTTATGTTATATATTTCGGGATTTACCGCAATCGCCACGCTGCCATATTTAAAATAAGAATTAGCGAAATTTTAGCTTTAAATAAATTTAGCTGAAGATGCTGCCGCTGGTCTAGTAGTCACAAGCGCGACTGCTGATCATGAGGTCCCGGATTTGAAGCCCAGTTCTATTTATTTTTTTCAGTAGCAGCTTCAGTCAGTGGTGTTTGCCACGTGCCTCGGTAGCACGTAAAACCTTTGCTTCTGCGCCTGATCTCTCTTCGGTTGCGCCTGAATGCCGTCCCACCGGAATATGAGAGTAAGGGAATAAAGAGTGCACCTGTGCTTGCGCATACACTCTTGCACTGTAATACTATATTGTATTAGTGAATGAAGTCTCGCACCAATGATTAAAACTCCAACAATATACTTTAAGCAACAAATATATTATTATCACGCTTACATACGAAACAATATTATTGTTAGATGAAAAACTGTGATTCCTAATCTAGGTAAAACCTTAGGTCACCAGGTACCTGTAGAACTCCGTGTACAAAGTAGATAGATGTACCTACGATATCCTGCAGAATTGAACAATAAAACAGGTGCTTATAATCTACCTTCAAAAAATATACACGAAGGTCATACCGCCATCCAAGGCAATGAGAACTTCCTGACAATTCCTTCCTGCAATTAACTTTATCTAATACAACAAAGTATTTTAATAACATACATTTGTTACGTCGTTTATATCCAACCGGCCAGTGTAGGCCAATTTAGCTGACGGGTGTTGGTTGAAAATTGCCTCCAAAGCTGACTCCCAAGCGCTGATGGCATATCTCGCTTGTTTATTTTCTACCATGCTAATAAATTAAAGAATAGGTGAAATCTATACAGTATGTAACAAACACAAGTACGAGATGTACATATAGACATGGCATTAAAAGATTTAAAAGACTGAAATTTTTTTGGTCGTTATTTATGGGTAGTGTTCACAATAGGTAACTTAGGTAAAAATGTTCGTGCATCGGTAAAGCGGGGTCTTTTAGAATACCCGTACTCCCATTAAAAAAAATGTACAATTTGAATTTTTTTTGTGATTTTTTGAAGTAAAGTTATTTCTATATGATAAACGTTTAAATACTGATTCTGACAATGCACTTAAGGGAAATCACAGGGTTTTTGTTAAATGTTATAATATGTTAATACGTAAATGGAAAACTTTGTACCCCAGGAGACGGATCGATATGATTGTGTCGGCGCTGTCGTCGCGCCACGCACAAAATGAACTGAATTCTGAATCACGCTGTCGAAGTTTTCAAAGTACTCCGGTATAAATACAACAGCTCTGAACTACCTCAAGGTTTCCACCATCCTTTTTCTTCCAAGGCCAAAAGATAAAATAAAAATGGATATATCATACATATCGAAGAACTAATAACGATTAGTGGCAGCCTCGTAGCAGGCGCAGTTATCGGGCGAGGCCACGCCAGATGGAGTGATGATATAATGAGAAAATTTATTGCATGGCTTAGGGCCGTGTTTTACGGAAACCTGTGGTGGAGGCCCATGTCCAAACGTAGATTGGTCAAAATTATAAAGATATAACAAAATATAAAAACAAATAAAAGGAGTATTAGCTGGAAATACAAAAGGTGTCTTTCCAGCCATGATTATCTACCATAATAATGCAATACTAGGTGCCAAATACTGGGTGATCCAGCCATCCATTACGGCCATACGGCCATCTACTGCTAAACATAGGAATTTCTCATAGATTGCCTCATAGAGGGGATTCTGCCATAATTGCCACTTTTCGCAGACGTTTTGCTAACTTACAATTTTTTACCGACTTCAAAAAGAAGGAGGTATTCTTATCTACTGTATGTGTTTTTTGTGTGTAACGTCAGAACTTTCCGACTTTTCTGGTTGAACCAAATTTGATGATTCTTTTTTATTTGTAAGCTGGGTCTTCTCATGTGGTCCCATATATGATTTGTATTAAATATAATTTGATCAAGATCTGACTAGTAGTTTTTGAGTTATCCTTAAATAATGCGTATTTAATTGACTTCGAATACATGGATTCAGCCGTATTGAAGTCAGTTGTACAAAATTTTTAATTTTACGACTTGTTATTTTTATTTAGCTGTTATAAGGCAGACGCTGCTCTCCGTCTTCTATTTCAGTTTCCCTCTGTCGCCTGGGTGTCTTTGGACCATATCATTCACTTACCAACAGGTAAACTATGTGCTTATTCGTTACCCTTAAAGATTATTCTATTATATTTGTAAATAAATTATAAAAGTATCAAATAAATAATTTGCATACTAATGAACAGTTCCAAGGTCTAAGTAGACGTCAGCGCCTTCATCAGTGACACTGACAATTATTAGCGTGCAGAGTGCAGTGCGCAGGCCCACGTGCTCGATCTTTAGGTTATTTGACACGACCTAGAATTGTAATAAATCATACGCACACGAGCCATGGTAGCTTAAGTGGTTATACGAATGATGGATTTATCACGTATTTGGAAGGAAACATGGCAAGGAATCCTGTAAATAAAATATTTGGAGGTCATGATGTAAATCTGTCAACACGCACTGGATGGAGCATTATGTCGGATTAACTGGTAAATCTCTTTTAATTCTTTAATAATAGGTATCCAGTTAAGGTAGTTTAATTCCATCCACATAATTTCGATTGAGCTTACACTTACCGTGCGTTTTACAAGAAATTTTCCGCCACGCATGACACATTGTGGAATTTACTGTCGCCACACACGTTCTGTACAAGAAAGCAGCCACTTCTTTCTAACTATGTATCTCTAAGTTGGCAACGCACATTCAATTCGTCTAGTTTTGCAGATATTCTCGGGCGACAGTGATCACTTACCATCAGGTGAGCAGTATGTTCGTTTGCCTTTTCTTTTATTAAAAAAAATATATCGTCTACCACCTATTTACAATTGAGTAGCATGGTTAATATTCTTGCGTCATAACTGCATTACCTTCTCAAGAACGACCGGAGATCTTATTGCTGCTTTATTACTCTCTCAGGAATGAGCGCATACCTATTTTTCAACGTGGGGAAAATCCTCATAGATACAAAAATTATATTTATTTATATGATTATACCGGAATTCTACCGGCTAAAACTCAACAATGGTTACCATTAGCATATACGAGTGGTCCGGGTATCGCTGTTTGGAACACAACCGGGGCCCCTGCATCGCTTTGTTTGAAACAACCATTTTCACCAGATATTTAAAACTGCACCAATGGACGGAGACTAAATATTAAATGGAATATTGTATTAAGCAGATATGATAGGGTTACAAATATATAAATGTAATTATAATGTGAGACACGTCACAACGTGGACTATGGGCCTGTTCAGCCTGCATTAGCATGTCCCGGAGACAGTACAGTGCAGTGCTGATCCTATTACAGAAGACCTGATAACTATTTTTTTTAATTTAATTAATGAACTTATTACTTGGTTACGAAATTTGTTGCGGTGGTCTAAAGCAGGAAAGATTACCATATTAAATAACAATCAATTATTTAATTTCATTCATAATTCCACGGAATATGTAAAAGTGCTTGTATATGGCGGCATTTTCATAGACATCAAGTAGCTGTCTCCATCGCGCAAAGCAGTGTAATTGCTTAGCCTATATGATTCCTTTTTTATAGAATAAGGGTGGCAAATGAGCACACATACCATCTGATGGTAAGTGGTTGCTGTGGCCCAGAGACATGTACATTTATCCTCGATTACAAATCAAAATGCAGATGCGTTGTCACCCCTTAGGACTAAGATGGAATGCCTCGTTTCCAGTAAATATGAGACACAGCAGCATTGAACTGCTATTTTAATTGCTAAATTGGTGTTCTGTGAGAGCGTGGTCCTACTCCGGTCGAGCCGCCCCATTCGTGCTACAATTACACTAGGTACTAATATAGGTAACTGTAGCAGGGCTCTACCGCGTAAAAATGTACTACACGATTATAAATTGAATTGCTTATAAGTTGAAGCAACATTGTCGTAAGATTGCTTTGCGATGTGCTGCCACAATAATTCCACAATAATTTTGTAGCAAAAGTATCGTCGGGAATATTATTTAGCTATTTTAGTCCTTTGCAAATTTCCATCCAGATGTAATTTCTACAGTTCAACTACGAGGCCTTGTACATTTCTCCTTGAAACTAACAGTATTATATATTTTGTTGTAAATCAAAGATATAATCGGACAATAAGGAAGCTCACCTCTTCACCTTTTCCCGAGGTAAACAATTCCTTAGAGATTTGCTCGGTCATCAGCCCACTGAGCGCTGTGCAGCTCATAATTTTTAATCCGATATCTATTCTCTGTAAATTAGATAAAGAGAAATAAATGGTAATTTAATCGTTAAATACATTATTCCGTCAATTACGATTAGATACATTAATAAACCGACTTCATAAAATAAAAATAATAAAATAATTTCCAAATAATTGAATTGCTTCTGATGTCGGGGCGAAGTTTAAGTTGATGAAAGGAACTAAAAACATAATTTTATAGCTTATTGAGGGCTCTGTAGCGCAGTGCCTTAGCAATGAGGTACAGCGCTTAGGGGCGCGGGTTCGAATCCCGCACGGAATAAGTAGGTATATGTGTGGCCTGCCCAATAAATAATTGTTCCGAGTCTGGATGTTTGTCCTTGTGAAATTTATGTTTGTAAACTGCCCCCACTATACAGGAGAAAATCCTAGAGTGGAGGTAACGTTTTTTTTATAAATAATAAAATATTTGACCCTTTTGAGTGGACTTTGCAATATTACAGGCCTCGAGTTAACAACTATAATGCTATCTAAATAGTTACTTTTAAAATTACATCACTATTGTCATATTATATTTATATTACATTCGGGTACATCAAATTAAAAAATAGTAATGAGACTATTTGAATTATTTTTAAAGCATAATTTATTTTATAAAAAAAAATCATTAACATCGGCTCGAAATTGTTGAAGATCGACAACGCGAGTAACGACAAAAAAAATATGTCGAAGTGAGAACCTGCTTTTTTTAAGTCCACCAAAAATTCTTACTGGAACTCATGGACTGTTACTACTTATCTGAGGACTGAAATGAAATGCCTCACTGCCTGTTTAATGTCTTTTCAATGACTCTCTTACCCTAGTAACCAAACAGATTCGAGCAATAACAATATTTTTCCTCGTCTTCGTCGTTTTCATGAGCCAGTAAAAGTCCACGGTTTTCGGCAGTAAGGAGGTTTACCCATAATCCGGATTTGTGGTGTTGAGTCAGACAGGTTCGTTTCACACACAGAAATAGTAATAATAAGACAATAGAACTTAATTAGCGCTCGATTACTTCCAAAACCGATGTCGCCACATCTTAGCACATAAGTACGCTTTAAGCGACCGATGCCGATACATTGCTTAAAGAGTTTGTCAACGTCGCGTACATCGCGTATTACGGCAGAACAAAAGCAGCAATGGTAATTGTCAATACGAAAAATAATAAATGATAGTTTACAAAGGTAAATATCATAGTAAATTATTCATCTAGATGTAAATTAGTAAAAACAATGATAATTAGTAAATATTCAACTTACTGATGAAATGTTATGCCTTTATTAGTTGAATTACACGTCTTTGATAAGTTTTTACTACTGATTATGCTGCAGTTCACCATTATAATAACATAAATTATAAATTCACGTACGACGTTCCCCGCGCCCCGCGCAACTAAATCACAAAACGGTGAATGATGTTCATCAACACATCATAGCGGCGACAAGGTCACGCGTCTATGCGACTTCTACTGTCTTATTATTACGATTTCTGGGGGTAAGAGGCACACTGAACCTAAACGTTAAGTTGGAGAGGTCTCGTCTAATGAAGTCAACGCTTCGTCCCCCTCGTGCACCAATCCAAAGTCACGAATCCTTTCAGCTCGAGTTACAAAACCGTTTTCAGTGCCTAGAAGATTGCAATGCAGCGGACGATATGAATGACAAGCTCGTGGAAACTACGTTATATTACGGTTTCAGAGGTCTTCTCACTTTTGACTCTGCTCCCCTTCGCCGATCTTTTACATATAGCGAAAAGTCGCCATGTAGCGCCGACACATGGTATAAGATTTAAAAGTTTCGAACGAAAAGATCTTAAATTTTGACCTGAATATTTTCTATCGCGATGGGACAAAGTTGCCGGCAACGTGCACCTTTGTGGATTAAAAGAAGAAACGGTAGGAACCTTATAAGCAAACATACCTGTAGTATGTTGAGCAGCTCATTCACGAAATCCTTGTTGAGCATGGCCTGCATGCTTACGTGGTAGTTTTGTAGGTTAATATAGCATTGTACGGCCAGACGTTGCGCTTCGATAGGTGTGTCTTTGTCTATAACAGAGTTATCATCCATCAGCCTATAAAAGTCATCTATTAGACGTCGGCCTTTGCTACTTGCAATCGCCCCGCGCACTTTTTTTTATACAAAATAAGGGTAACAAACAAGCACACAGTCCATCTGATGCTGGAGTCCATGGATGATGTGGATGCTGTGACCCATAGACATCTACATTTATCCTCGTTTAAGAATCAAAATGCAGATGCTTTGTCACCCCTGAGGATTGAGATGTAATGCCTCATTTCCAGTAAAAAGGGTCTCCGGTTCTCTACAATCATCACACGAAACACAGCAGCTTCAAGCTGCTATTTTAAACTGGTATTCTGTGAGAACGTGATCAAACTGATCCACGCATGTTATAACCATTATCAAGCAGCAACATGACTCTATCTCTATCAAAATAAAGCTAAAACATGGCTCTAACACGGGTAAGAGTAATTTATCCTTCGCGCTATTCCAGTGCGTGTTGACGAATTTTACATGCTTTACCCGCCCTCAATATCAAATATATCAGTAGGATAATGTTATGTCGCCTCTACACGTTGGCCAACACAGTGGCGAATGGAGTGGCGAATATATTGGCCGAGAGTTGGTGACGGCGTCCACACGTTGGAAGGTCGTTCAGTTTACTTCGGTTCGGGCCAATGTGCGGACGAATTTATAAGCACCGTGGCGCAGTGGCTCAGCAATGAGTGGCTGCGCCGGGCGCCGCGGGTTTGATCCCGCACGGAACAAGTATTTGTATGTCCTACGAATAATTGTTTCGGGTCTGGATGTGTGTCCTTGTGCAATTTATGTTTGTAAACTGCTTGCGTGATACGGGAGAAAATCCTAGTGTGGGGTTAACGTTTTTATAAAAGAATTATAAAATAATAGTGGTTATTAATGGGGCTGTAAATAGATATACGCTATACGATTAGCTTTGTTTATTCTTTACATGCATCATAAACTGGAATAAATACCATTAATAAGAACTTAACTTATTTTAAAGTTAAAGGAGTTATAATCGATTAGTCTATGTTTTAAAATTGGGTTTTGATTTTAAAGTTTAGCAAAATATGTACTTGCATTTCAATCAGATATTTGATGTATATAAAAACACCTTATAATTTATTTGGTAATTTAATTATTTTTTAAAAAGACAAAAACAATAGCAATAAATATAATTAACACTGACTTAATAATAGGTACTAATTATAAATTAGAACATAAATGAAAAACTCATGACGAGCAAAGTCGCTCAGGACCATGCTTTGCGGCAGTCTGTGGAAGAGGATGTTCAGTAGTGGACTTGTGAAGAGCTGCAATGATGATGATGATTCGAAAACTTGCACGATTAAATTATAAGAAATCGACGTTTTTCATAGGATAGTGTGACAGACGAGCACACAGTTCACCTGATGGTAAGTGGTTGCTGTGGCCCATAGACCTACATCTATCCTCGATTACGAATCAAAATGCAGATGCGTTGTCACCCGTGAGGACTAAGATGAAATGCCTCGTTTCCTTTAAAAAGGGTCTCTGGTTCTCTACACTCACTATACGAAACATAGCATCATTAAGCTACTATTTCACGCGGGTATTCTGTGAGAGCGTGGTCCTTCCCCGATCGAGCCGACCTTCGTGCTGCAACTATACTTCTAATATAATTGCATGGTTCTACCACGTATAAACGACGTGCTTCATTTTTTTTTAAATTGTTCTCGTAATAATCTGATTGCAAATAAATGTTCATTATTTTTTTTTTATAAATAGCTTATCGATTAAAACAATTATTTAAAAATAATTAAATCGCGCTAATTAAAGTAGTAGGAATGTTTAAAGTGGAAATTGGCACTAAAAGGCTGTTAATTGGGTCATCCACCCTACAAAGCGTGAATATAAAATTTTATTCAGATGCGTGTACTCACTCTGGGAGCTTGTAGCAAACTAAACTCGCGGCCAACGTGTGGACGCGGCGACCAAACTCTGCCAACAATCCTTTGATCTTTTGTAAAAAACCGACACCACACGGATCTCATGTCGCCTCTACACGTTGGCCAACACAGTGGCGAATGTAGTGGCGAATATATTGGCCGAGAGTTGGTGACGGCGTCCACACGTTGGAAGGTCGTTCAGTTTACTTCGGTTCGGGCCAATGTGCGGACGAATTTATTTTATTTTAGACGACGGCTCCGTGGCGCAGTGGCTTGGCAATGAGTGGCTGTCCCAGGGGTCGCGGGTTTGAATCCCGCACGGAACAAGTATTTGTATATTCTACAAATAATTGTTTCGCGTCTGGATGTGTGTCCTTGTGCAATTTATGTTTGTAAGTTGCCTCCGCGATACAGGAGAAAATCCAAGTGTGGGGGGTAACGTTTTTATAAAATAATTATAAAAGAATAGTGAATATTAATGGGGCTGTAAATAGATATACGATATACGATTAGCTTTATTTATTCTTTACATGCATCAGAAACTGGAATAAATACCATTAATTAGAACTTAACTTATTTTAAAGTTAAAGGAGTTATAATCGATTAGTCTATGTCTTAAAATTGGGTTTTGTTTTTAAAGTTTAGCAAAACATGTACTTGCTTTTCTATCAGACATTTGATGTAAGGATAGGGTGACAAACGAGCACACAGTTCACCTGATGGTAAGTGTTTGCTGTGGCCCATAGACATCTACATCTATCCTCGATTACGAATCAAAATGCAGATGCGTTGTCACCCGTGAGGACTAAGATGAAATGCCTCGTTTCTTTAAAAAGTGTCTCTGGTTCTCTACACTCACTATACAAAATACAGCATCATTAAGCTACTATTTTAATTGATATTCTGTGAGAGCGTGGTCCTTCCCCGGTCGAACCGACCCATTCGTGCTACAACACCATGCATGGTTCTACCACGTATAAACGACGTGCTTCATTGTTTTTTCATTTTAAAATTGTTCTCGTAATAATCTGATTGTAAATAAATGTTCATTATTTTTTTTTATAAATAGCTTATCGATTAAAACAAATGTTTAAAAATAATTAAATCGCGCTAATTAAAGTAGTAGGAATGTTTAAAGTTGAAATTGGCACTAAAAGACTGGTAATTGGGTCATCCATCCTACAAAGCGTGAATATAAAATTTTAATCAGATGCGTGTAACCACTCTGGGAGCTTGTAGCAAACTAAACTCGCGGCCAACGTGTGGACGCGGCGACCAAACTCTGCCAACAATCCTTTGATCTTTTGTAAAAAACCGACACCACACGGATCTCGCGCCAACTTGCGGGCCATCGTTCCAATACATACCAATGAAGCCCAAACACCCCGTCTACACGTTGGCCAATGCTATTGGCCACTACATTCGCCACTGTGTTGGCCAACGTGTAGAGGCGCCGTAAGATATTTTGATTATTTTTATGTAGGTATTTTCATCTGTGCTTACGACTCGTGCCGGCAACTATACCTATTACTACTTCGTTTGTTACTTCAATTTCATTGGAAAAATTACAACAACTCACAATAACAGTAATAAAAACTGCGGTTGTCAAACCATTTGCCAAGCGTAGCAATTATAGCAATTATCCCCCCCTCCTTAATAAGTACAATCCATGAAGGAGGTCTGTATACAGCAGCGGACGTTTGATAGGTTCTGATGATAATTGGGTTCTCATCCAGCGACAATTCCAAATGTATTTAATCGACTAACTCGAATTAACTCACAGTTACGACAAGTTTAATTATACCCAATGCTTTTCAATTCCGTTTAGGTCGTAATTACTAATAATTCAATGTTCTCTTAAAAATATTAATTTAAATTCCAAACTCTGAGTCTACATTACAGACGGTAGATGTAACATAAAGTGTTGTCGTAGAGATGTATCATAATTTGGTCCTCCGTGTAAGTCGCAAAAGCTAGAAATCCAATTACTTCTCGGGGAGGGAATTCCCTAAATCGAATCTTAAACATTCACACGTTAAAAATACGTAGTACCCACCTGCATAAAGGACAGTACCTACAGTCTATGTAATGTGGTAGGATTGTTTGTTAATCTGTAACTTTAGGTAACTTGATTAAATGATGTCTATAATATACGTACACTTCTTGTTTATGTTCCTGAGTGAACCGAACGTGCTGTGTTCTACAAGTCTGTAAGCGGCCTTAGGTATAATTCGGCAGAGTTCGGCAAGTGCTCGCAACGCGTTGATGCGAATGTAGAACCACGCAGTCGTTTCGTCGCTTAAAATTGCTTTTCAAATTAAAAATAATATGTTAGCACGGCAGCATTCTTAAGATACTATAATACAAATTCTAGTAAATTTTTACACAAAAAAATCACGGTCAAAGCGATCACTTTGTTTTCTTTGAAAGCAAGTAACCTACGTTCGTTCGCTAGTGCTGGCACCACTAAAATTTTTAGTCGAAATTTTTTTGCGAATTAATCGCGTGATTTCATAAACTAAGATGTACAACGTGAATATATGAAAAAAAAACGCGCAACTTCCGCCATTGTGTCCGCCCCTAAATCTTGCCTGCAAAAAATAGAAAAGGCTTGCACCTAAGCGACTATTGATTTTTAAAATATTATTAAATGTTATAAATCTGCTGATGAGAATAAACCTTAAGTCACGCATGAAAATATTTCCAACCCGTAAAACAAATAGCAAAGCCAAAACATACTTATATAAATAAGTTAACATTGATGTTTGTCAATAAGGCTGTGGGGCACGTTATGATGACGTTTTGAATGAGTGCGTACTAAAGTAAAGGCGCAATTACACTTGGTCGTTTGCCCGCATTCGGGTGCCTATGGAATTCAGACAAACGACTTTCGTTTACACCAAAAACGATTTTGTCAGCCGATGGCGACTAGAACTACCCGGACAAGTAACTCGGACGTGTATGCGCTTACACTACAACAGTGTACCGCTTGTGCTGACATTGGACGCTGCCGGTATTCTTTTCTATTTTTATATTTCCAATATCCATAGTCGTTTAGAGAGATAACAACACTGACAGAAACAACAGAATAAAGACAAA